AGAATAATCCCACCTAGTCCCTGAAGAGAAAAATGTCTTGTCACATGATTCATAGAAAAGTTAACTTTTCTTGAATCAAGTTCTCACTATGCAGCTTAAACTGACCTTGAACTCACTGTATCCGAGGGTGTCCTTAAACTTCCAAACACCCTCTTGACCCAGTTGCTTGAGTGTTGCAAGGCTCATAACACCTCCTCTGATTAGCAAACATGGTGGAAGGTCAAGTCTCTGGGTGCTGTAAAGGCAGCAGCCCATGTTGTCGGGAGCCCTGCAACACTCAAAACTGCACACCCAAGATTGAGCCCCTTTCATGGTTTAATGGTTTCTCTCCTACATTGTTCTACCTTCCCAGCACAGCCTAGTATTTTTCCTCATCACCTTGCTATTTAAAGAGTTCCTTCAGAAGTGGATTTTTCTGTGTTTGTTTCTGTCAATCATTTTTCTTTCTGTCTGTCTAATGCTTATGGCAAACATGCAAGGTACAATGCAGATAGCAGAGTTCCCCTCAGTCTCTTCTTAATGCTGCTGGAATTTGCCCTTAAGCTTTGATGGCACCAAAGGTGGAGAGCTGTGGATTCTGATTCATGCCAATTATCATTTGTTCTGCTTGTCTCCCCAGTTTACGTGCAGAAGAAAATGAACTTGTGTCAGATTCACTAGATGAAAACTATTTGCTCCTTTCCTGTCATCCTGCTCTGGCTGAGCCACAAGAATGTGCAAGCAGCACAGCCTTCCCATCACAGAAGCCTGCAGACCACTCTGCTATGGATGGGTCCAGTGAGTTTTTACATGACACTTCAGATAAGTGCAGCTCCTCTCTCAAGGGCTGTCTCTTCTCATGCTTCTGTGTCTCAAGAAAGAGAGGGGTGTGTAGGAGGCCCAGGAGGCCTGTTTTGTTTCAGACCCTGTGCAGAGACAGGCCTGTCTGAGGATCCTGTGTGCCTTCTGCATCACTCGGAATCCTGACTTTATTGCACACTGTGTAGTTCTGTGTCTTGTTGAGTGAGGACAGTGACAGCCTGAGCTCTCATTGCCACCCCTACTGGCTGCCCAGGAGTGTGTCAGAGACCCGGGTATAGAGTGACTATTTCTTGGGTTCTGTAATGATCCTGGGAGTTGACTTGATCTCTGTGTCCTCCAGTCTTTCCTATACATCTGCACACACTAGCTTATTGGAACAATGATTTTTGAGGTCTATTTCATTTTCTGACTTTCTTTTCACATTTGTGCCTCTTCAGAGGTTGTTTTCCTTTGAAATGAAGTTCACTAGCTTTTGGTGTTCCACACTGGCATGGTATGGCTACATCCATGGGGGCTCAATGTGTTTACACAATGCTTTAACCCCTCTAGTCAGGAGCCTGATTCAGAAGAGTTTGGAATTTGAGATTGGACTGGGATATACACTGAGACTCTCTCTCTCTGTGTCTCTCTGTCTCTCTGTCTCTCTGTCTCT